GATTATTAATAAAAAAGTATATATAGGTTTTATAAATTTTAAGAGTAGTCTCTAATTTTATTTTAATCTAATTTTATTTTAATCTGCATTATTTATTATAAACTGTATTGCAAAATTTTTTAGATATTTTTTTATATAATCAAATTTCTATAAATATAATATATAGATCAGTTTAAAATATACATTTAGAAGATTTATATTTAGAGAAAGTCAATCAAATTGTAGCTTTTAATATTTGATCTGCAAGCTTGTATAACAAACTTAAATACTAACTTCTAATTGGCTATATATATTTAGAGAGATTAGTATGATATAAAAAATCTTTTGAATAAATATATATTTGCAGAATATAGAATGTATATTTAGCATTAATAATTTTATATAGCCAAAATAAAAACATATAGATTATTCAAATATAAGCAATCAGCAAGTAATAAGATATATGAATTTGATAGTCAGTTAAAGTATAGAGTTTTAAGATTACTTTCTTAATACAGTTGAGATTAGTAGGTTGTATAGATATCAAGAATGTAATTACAGCATATAAATTATACCAGGTGTGCAAAAAGGCACTAACCAGTCCCGTTTTTATATTAATAAAAATAATTAATAAGCATTGCATCATAATAATATTTTGTATAAATAATTTTAGTAACTTTCTGTATACCAAGTATATTGAATTAACTCTGCTTTAACAAACCTTTAATTAGAAATCGATAAACAAAAAGATATAGTCATACGGTTAAAGTTTAAATATTGATCAAAATATAATAATTATGCAGGAGTAAATAACGATAAAGAAATTTTAAAAGTGGGTTGTAAGCATAAAATTGGAAAATTGAAATTTTCATATAATTTGAAATTTTAAAATAGCTTCCGAGATCAAATTTTCAGCGGTTGAGTAATAATTCGAATTATACATTTATAGCTGTTTTTAAACTTTCTAATAGCTGAATCGATAAGTTACTGAATCGAAATCAATAGTTACTAATATCGGTCAAAATCAAAAGCTTATCGATTTAGTTATTGACAATTTTCAAGTGTTTTAAAATTTATGAAAAATAGCTATAAATCGAACAATACAATAATATCAGCTGAATTTTTGTGAATCTGGTACTTTATATAAAATGTGATGAAAATTTTATGAAAACTGATTTACTGAAAGTTATACAGATTGTAACTTTCGTAACTAATACTAACTATATAGTTAATGATAGATCTTTTTAGCTAAAACTATTGCTATAAGATAGATATCAAGAAATATAGATTTTAAGATTCAATGCCAAATACCAAAATCCTAAAATTACAAAGATTCAAGAAAATAATGCACAATCCACAATAAGATTCTTAAGCCATATACATTCAATACTAGATAACTTTAGGGTATATGGTGGTTTATTAAATTATACTCCACTAATCACAAAATTTTTATAAGCATTTATTATAAAAGTAATACATACAAATTAACACTAAAACACCAATTTTGATTCATTGTACTATAGCGAAATTAGGTGTATAAAAAACTATATTCAAGATTGCATTTATAAAATATAGTTATATATATTTAAAATCCTAATGATTAATATAAAAAAAATCCTAAGATTGTATATACATACAAATATATATACATTCCACCCTAGTTGTATGTAACAATAATGCGTAGGTATCTAACCATAATGATACTTTTTTTACTGCAACAATATAGATAATGATAAAATGTAAAAATAAGTAAAAAATTATATAGCCTCACCGCAAAAATGTTTAAAAAAAATATTCAATGTTACGAAGCTTTTAACCTTCATGAACAAAAAAATTAGTTATCGCAACTTGTTTTTTGGATTGAAATTCAAGTCTCTGAACCATTTTATGATACTTTTTAAATATATATATGTCTTCGGTCTTAAACTCTTCTTTTTCTTGTTGTTCAAAAAAACTTATCCACGTACGTAATGATTTTTCTGCATCATTTAAAGATACTAAGACTGGCTCTTCTTCTGAATCATCAGGATCATTTAAGTTATTATTCTTGCTATATATTTCTGCATTAATCAAATTTATGATATCAATTTCATTTAAAATATCTTCAGTTAGAATGTTTTCTTCTAGATCATAAAAGTATTCATTTAATGAATTCGCAACTGAAGTGGCATAAGAATCATCATGTGATATACATATATCTTCGACCATTTGATTAGTATCTTCTCTTTCACTAGTTAGAATTTCTTGTTGAATTTGTATTGCATTAATTCTATTATCTTCAGTAGTTATGGGTAGGATACCTGTTTTTTTCTAACAATTAAAAATAGTATCCTGAGTTACATTCTTCCATGTGTCTGCTAAATAATCAACTGCTTCCTTAATATTAAGCTTTTTTTCATTTATATCTTCACCGCTTTCATAAAG